AATTAGTAGAGACAAAAATATTACTGTAGCTATGGCAGTATTGTACCTGACCCCGATCATGTGGCTTTATTATTCAGAGAGCGTCTTGAATCTGTAATACCAGGTAAACTCAACTCGTATTTCAACGGGCATCTCTCTGAAGCATGTACAGTTCCAAACGGACATGTTCCAAACTCTTGTTATTTTGAATTCGTTACAATAGAGGAAATTGAACAAATTGTTATGGCATTCTTGAATAAACATTCGTGTGGTTTCGGTCAGACATATTAGACATATTAAGAAACTTATTCCGTATATTTGTTCATTTGTAGCTGATCTGATTAACATTGCCGTTTGTACCGGTATGTGTAGGGACTATTTTAAGAAATATCAACTTTTGACCGTCTCCTCAATTTATTTGCTAAAACTACTATCCTATACTCAAAAAAATTCTCATTTTCATGATTATAACACGAGGAATAAGAACCAATTTTGCTTAGGTAAGCATAACTTAGCTACTCACGAAAAGTCACCTAGATATGCTGGTACACGAATATACAATAATTTACCAGAATCTCTTAAACAAATAGATAATGTTATGCTCTTCAAAAGCACCTTAAGAGGATGCTCTTATCTAACATCTTCTACAGCATAGATGAGTTCCTTGCGTTTTTGAAGGACCTGAAATAATGCAATTGTCAGGAGGTCCATTCACTTGGCATTCACATGCACTTTTTAAATTTTATGTTATCAGTTTGTCTGTTGTTCTTTTAGTTTGTTATTTATTTCGCCTTTACTTTTTAGAAGTATTATATGTGATACTTATGATATAGTGTTCGGAACTAATAAAGGATTTGAATTTAAATCTGCAGATACGGAAAACTTTGTTGTGTTACTTGAACAGTATTGATATAGGTCATAAATAGGGGGATTAAAGGTACATCTACAATTTGAAAAGTGGGGATTTTGGTGTTTCCAAACCTCCTAATATTTCTTACAAAATACTAAAGGTAGAAGATAAATCGGATTTTGACAGAGGCAGGCACAAAATAGTATGGGACACACTCTATGAAAATCCTGTTTCTTTTATATTCAAATAACTGGATATTGCTACAAACCATCAAGAAATAAGCTTATATAAGTATAGTTATCAGAGAGAATAAACTTAAGCATTATAGTCAACAAACGAACTGAAACTACTAAATACTTTAACTGATTACGGAAGAAATTATAAATCAAGTCGCTTGTTTTCCCACTGAGTCATGGTCACATTAACAGACAGCAATTCCTATAAATATAAACACATGGGGTGTAGAGTTGATCTACTCAACGCAATTTAGATACACTGGTACAGAACAAAATAAAAATAAAAATTCGATGTAGCGGTTACACTGCTGGACAGCTTATCTACAAATAACATTAAAAAATAGAACAGCATATCTTAAAATCTGTGGACATTACAGTTTTTTTGGCTGTTGATTAAAATAAAGCTTTAGTTGTTAGCTACTATTTCAAATCATCCACTTTTCGTTAAGAGGTAATTCGTAAAACCCATGATTTTCTGCTTTTTGAAGCAGCAAATTGAATCTCTTCCCCTTCAGTTAAATATCCCTAATGTATCTTCCATCCGTTGTAAAATCGGTACATACAACTTTCAGTGGTTAGATACCCTGATTTAGTGTCCTTCTATGTACTTTGCGTTGGTGTGGGAACTCGCAGGAGTAAAATGTCAATTTGTTGATTCTAATTGTTTTTATTATTGCATCCGTCATCTGCTCTAGATGGGCTTGGAATGCCCAGTCACGATTTCACGATTTATTCGCTAATTGAGTTGGTGCTATTTTGATGATGGATTTCATTTATTCCGATTGTTCTCCGACTTGAACCGAACTGCTTTATTCGGCTGGCAACTAAAGACTTGTCGTGTTGTTGCTTCAATATAAGATGTAGTCCTATTGGAGACAGTAGCAGATACGTGCAAGCAGCCGAAACGATAATACGTGCTTGCTCAATTGAAACATAATAATTATAAAAATAGTTAATAATAATAATTAACGTCGTTTTTTATACATGTATTATATTATAGGAGGCGAGATTTAGTTACTATATCTATTTTACCACCTAGTCTTATGTTAGTTAGTTTGAGCTGCTGGCCAGATAAGATAAAACGCTCATCAGAAAAAATTTCAAATAAACCATTGTTGTGCACCACTGCTTATAGATGACTTCCAAAAAACAATGTATCAATTTCTCTTTTCGTCTTCAACAATTTCTTCTTTTGCCTTGCATTTTATGCAATGTTTTGTACAGTCGCGTTATTAGAATAAAGAACTGAATCAACATTGTTTCAAATAGGTGCAGGTCTTGGTTAACGTATTATGCATCTCTAGAGATTTTGGATTAATTTTGGTTTCAAAGCTGACTGTCCTGGGTTTGATTACATAAGAATTATATCTTTGACTAGTCAGATGAGCTCATTCCTATCAAGTGTTACATTTCTTTTGCGGAAATGTATCACTTCGTACATTTAGGTTAATAAAAAAAAATAGAATGCAAACGCTTTCTAAACTACCAGATGTGCTGTTCTTAATGAGGCTGGATGAATAAAATCTCATAAGCAAAACAATTCTTACAACAGAGATGCCACTTTTCAACACGCTTTTATAAGCTTGGCCTGTAAGGACCGACCACAATGCAATAATTTGATAACAGTTTTCCATAATCCTTATTAGGATCGCCAGGACTGATAAATGCTTTTATAGATCCTCTGTAGGGGAGTAAGAGAGATAGAGCCAGCACATGATCTGCGCATGCGTGCAGTTTCGAACTTACCCTTTGTTGGAACGACAGTGGTATAGCGCTTTTTATCGGGGATTAATTGGACTATACGAGCATTAACAAGCCGTTGAAGATACGCTTTTGACTAATCCTTTGTTAATCTAGGGTGCTGCAAGCTGGATCCAATTCGATTATGAAGACCTGTAGTCGACAAGATACCGAGATATACGTTGAATTTTTTTCGAATTCTTTTGGACTACTTCTGGTGCACCAACTATGTTAAGCAGGAAGTATCGCGGAATCAGTGTGAGTTTCGGATTTGAACGGTAAATGCACGTATTTGTTTCAGTCGCGAGTATATAAAACATTCGAGAAATATGCAAAACTTTATAGGATGTTATGTTATTTTTTTAAGTCTATAATGGTGATCCCAAATCGGCTAAGTAAAATAAATACGCATTAAAGAACCAACAACGAACCATAAGAAAAACGCTCATCATAGAATATTGTTTATATACTAAGTGACATATAAATCCGAACACCCAGTTTAAATGATTTTATTTTAATAAAATTTTGTATAAGTACTTAATGAAGCATAATAAGTAAATGATAAAAATTTCAAAATGATTGCACTGCTTTGACCTTTAATAATGTGTGGATGCACCCTGATGTGCTACGCATTCTCCAACGCGCCTAGGCATGCTTCTCATCAGGTGGTCAATGTCCTCCTGTGGTATCTCATTCCAGGCAACCACCAACTCCTCTCGAAGTGCTTCTAGAGTCTGAGGAGGACGTTGCAAATTGAGCAATTCCATCATATCCCACACGTGCTCAATAGGGAATAAGTCGGGAGATCTTTGTGGCCATGGTAACAATGTGACATAATTATGTTGAAAGAAGTCTATTGTGACTCTTGCAACATGTGGTCGGGCATTATATTGTTGGAAAGTTGGATCTGCCAGGGTGTCAAGATAGGGTAAAAGATGGGGTTCTAGAACTTCGTGGATATAACGCTGCGCGTTCATGTTACCTCTGATAAAGATTAAAGGTGACCTGGAACCATAAGCTATAGCACCCCAAACCATAACTCCAACAGTGTGATGAACATGTCTTTCAACAAAAAACTGTGGATTCCTTCTTTCACCACGTCGCCTTCTAACCCTGGCACGACCATCGTGCATGCCTAAACAAAATCGAGACTCGTCACTAAAGACAATACTGTTCCATTCCTGATCCCAGAGTGACCGTTGTCTGCACCACTCAAGGCGATTACGTCGGTGTTCTTGAGTCAAAGGGAGGACCCAGTGTGGACGGTATGAAAACAAGCCAAAACTTCTCATTCGTCGGTAAACACTTCGCATGCCAATAGGTCTTCCGTGTTCTGCAAACCATTCATTTGCAATGGACCTGGTAGTGGAGAAACGGTCCCTTAAGGCCAATAATCTCAGGCGGCGATCTTCACGGTCTGTTGTTCTACGGCGGCGTCCAGTGCCCCTTGCTCTTTGCGTACGGCCTTCTCAAAGCCATGCCTGACAACACCTAACCACAGTGTCTACACTTCTTTGCACTCTAAATGCGAAAAGAAAGTCCAGCTTCCCGAAGTCCCACTATACGGTCCCTATCAAACTCACTAAGTTGACGAAATCGTACAGGTCTCCATACTCTAGGCATCGTAACCGATCGTAAAGGATGTCAAGAACCAAAATCCGCCAACGTTGATTCTTTACTGCGGCTGAAATATTCATTTTTAGAGCGTTAGTGAATTAAAAAAAAGCAGTATATAAACCGGAATGTCCAACTGATAAGGCTGAAAATTTTTTCACTTGTTATTTACAGTAAGATAAATACATTCACCAACTTTTATTAAAATAAAACCATTTAAACTGGGTGTTCGGATTTATATGTCACTTAGTATATTTATTAATTTACAGTTTTGTTAAGATTATGCTGAAGCGGTGCCAACAAACACGCCCTAATCCGAAAAACTGATGTAGTGAACTTGTTTTTTGGACCAAACCCGACGGGAGTATGAAAGCTCCTTAGCGAAATAAGACCTCCCGCCCGCAATGGTACCGTGATTACACATACACTCGCGCGAGGGGACAATTGCCCATCACATTTGCGGTATTTTAATAGAATTGCACCTGTACGCCGTTCGCTATTCAACGCCTGCACCTCACCAGAAAATGTCCCTACACGTCGTCGTGGTCTTGGTGGTAGCTGTGGCCACTTTGCACTTGGTGGCTGCCAGGCCGGCTGATGCAGATGCTCAAGCGCAGATCATTAAGTACGATAACGATATTCGGATCGATGGATACGATTTTGCGTAAGTTCAGTTGTTACTTCAATCAACTCTTCTCTTGGCACTTCTGCATTTAACTTCATGTTTCTTCCTTTCTATGCGTCTACCATCTGCCTTCTTCATTGATCTCTACCAATCGTTCTTTAGGTACTTTTGGGTTTCGTTCGTTTTCATGCTGATAATGAATAATGCTTGATTGGCCGCTAAATGAAACCACATATGGCTGAGTTACTTTTAATGGAGACAACGCGACGTTTCTACCACAACCGTGGTATAAATGACAATACATTTTGCTTACCTGCATTCCAAGTGGCAGTTCGTTTGGTTTTTTCTTTTCACATACTTTCACTGTGTATTGCTTCAACAGCCTGAACATATCTGGTTTCATTCACCGGCCAAGCAAACGTGAAGGATTATTTCATACATGGTCATGTTTTTCATTCATGTTATGCACCACTGGTCCAAATTATGGAGTTTTTTCTGTAGAGTTGACTATACATATAAAATTTTTTTAAGGTATAAGCAAAAGCTTTGTTTCTATGGCAATCCTTTCCCAGATATTTATCAAGACTAAACGTGTTCTTCATTCAAAAGAACTCTCTCCGGTTTTTTGTGTTTCCTATGTTTACTGTCTGATTAATTTATATCATCCGTTTTCCTTCTTAAAGGTTATGTCAAAGTATTTCTGGATTCATTCGAGGCGTATAAAATTCAAGTTCTTCCTCACAGTTACCGATAAAGAATGATAAGATTACTAAGCGGGTGTATTCAGCTTCCTGTTAATCGGTCAAAGTTTGAAATATCGTTAATCTCGAGAACCTTCCAGATTATGCATTTATATTTGCTAAATTGTCTATTTTTATATGCATTATCTGTAAGAGTTGACTATAATGATCTTGACCTTGAAAATCAAAATTACCATGTTTTTTGTACCCATGATTTCCAGTCGATGAGTTTACGACCTTGTTTGTTGAGGAGATTTTACATCGTTTATTTGTAGGCTTTTTCAGAATTGTATCTTAATTTTCCTGCAGCTCTACCCCGATCAACCACAAAAATCTGAAAACCCGTGTTCATGTGCGCACGCCATCTGCTATTAAGCAATTTGGCACTTAGGGCTCCAGCTGTTTGCAAAAGTAATTGCTCAACCATAAAATGCTATAAATAAAAGTAAATACAAAATCGAGATATAGTTGAAACTGTAGAGCAAATTTGGCTTCTCGACGCTCTAGTAGCCGTTGGTTTCTCATCGCGTCTTTGACAGAAAATAGCACATTACTTACCTAGGTTGAGAAGTAGGCCATCATTAGTCGAGCACATTTATATTCTGAGGTGCCTCTTTCAAACAAGGAATGTATACAAGTTATCTAACTACCAATGCTTTTTATCACTTTTTTGATCTTTAAGATTCAATTATTTTTCTTGTGCATTATCATTTTCACACAATAGGTTATAGATGTGACATTTGGAAAGGCTGCAAACGTTTCTTGATCCTTATAGTATTAAAAACAGTTTGCCAATACTTGTTTATCTCTTGGAATGTCAAATTTTAGTTATCATAGTATGATGAGTTTGGCAGGATACGTATTGATTTGAATGACATTATCTATCTGGGTATTATTTATCATCATGATTAATCTAGGAAGAGATATACTTTCAGTGGGGCGTAGAAGTTAATGTCTCCGGTTGGTGGTTAAAAACATATACTTCTGTCAGAAATATTCATTATGGTTGGCATATATTCGACATTAAACTTGGCTAAAGCTGTTGCTTAATAGCAAATGTTCACCCGCTGATTCTCTATTGCCTCTATTTTATAAGAAAAAGCAACTGCTTGCCTCCTATTAATTAGGATAAGTTATTTTTATTATTTTTTGATCGGGTCAAGTTAACAAGTTGTAGTTCAGTGTGATGAAATTGATGTACTTTGAAAGGCGTTATCTTACAACATTTAAAAAAAAAGACAACGACAAAGAAATCACCCCAGCTCAGCAACCAACGATTAAAACAATCTTCTTCCCATGGAAGCATGTATTATACAATTTGTATTGCTTTGAAGTCGTCAACTTATCTATCAAAAAAATACCTGCTCCTGGTATATACGCAAAGTGTGAGAAACATCGTACCCAATCTTCTGGAGAAGTAACCATACAAGAGATAACATCAGTAAGTACTTACAGAAATGTTAGCAGCTCTTCCGAGGACGAACCAAGCATTTTCGGTCATTTTTCTTTAACCTCTCCCGAAATTGTGTCACAAAAGTCACATTTTTGTCAAGATATATCAACTTTCAACCTGGCCTATACATAGGGTGTTTATCCGATATGACTAGACGAAAAAAGAAGGATGAAGAAGAGCAACAAGAAGATAAAGATTATTATTTATCCAAGAATAATGCAAATACTACTATAGAGCAAGAAGTACAGTACCTGAAGAAGCTATTAGAAACAAAGACTGAAATAATTTTAGATAAAGAGAGGTATATCAATCGATTAGTTAATGAGAACAAACGTTTACAGGAGCATTATGAATTGATCATTAGCAGTATAGTGGATAAAGAAACCATAATCACTTCTTTGGGGAAAATAAATGAAAGAGTTGAAAAAATAGAAGCTACTACCTCATACACCCGTTGTAATGATGTAATTAAATCATATAGTGGAGCGGTAAAAGAATAAAAAAAAGCAGAGATGAGAAGATTGTAGATAAAATTAATAATACACAAAAGTTGATGATAAAAAGTACGGACAAATTAAATTCTAATGTGTTGGAAGATTTGAAGAAGAGCATTGATCCAGCTAAGTCCAATATCTGTGTGAACTCTGTGAGGAGGGTGAATAATGGCATCATTCTTAGCTGCGAAAATGAAGCATCATTGTCCAAGCTGATGGCGACTATACAGGGAGAACTCGGTGCGAACTTCACTGTCAATGAGATCAAGAAATATCGCCCACGCATGGTGATAAATAATGTAGAATGCGCCTACACAAAATCTGAGGGATTAATCGAGAAGACCTTGTCCCAGAATGAATTTGGTATTTTCAGTAGTGATGATATAAAAACTGTAACCACTTTCAGATGTTCCGAATCTACTTTAAATGTTGTCATTGCGATTAGCCCAAAATTTAGAAAAACGTTGCTAGACAGAGGTCATATATACATGGGTTGGCAAAGATGTCCTGTGCGGGATTATGTACGAATTATACGCTGCTATAAATGTTCAGGTTTTGGCCACATGGAAAAAAATTGCATACATTCTCAAGTCCTTTATGTGCTGGAGATCATTTGGAAAAAAATTGTAAATCTGCTTTTAAGAATTGTTCAAACTGTATGAATCACAATTCTAAATTCAACACTCAATTTGATACTAGTCATTCTTCTAAAGACCTATATTGTCCAACTTATAAAAAATATGTTACATATTTGAAATCTAGAATTGAATATGATTAGTGATAAATCCAAGATTTAAAATTTGGTAATATAAACTGCAGATCAGTATTATCAGGATTTCATGAATTTAGTACACTGGTTCAAAACAACAACCTTGATATTGTTGGAATATCGGAAACGTGGCTATCAAAAGATATATCTAATGACCATATAAGAATGAATGGATACAACTGCTATCGCTGTGATAGAGATGGGCGAGGTGGTGGGGTTGCAGTCTTTGTAAACAACCACTACAACTCTTCCATAATTTCATTTGGGCAAGGCCCAAGTATTGAATATATATGGTTGAAGGTGCAGCTTCCAAAACAAAAAATTGCTATTGGTATATTCTATCGGCCCCCACATAGCTCTGTTACAGAAGCCGGTAATACCTTTGATAACATGTTGCCTGCCATATTAGCTGAATATGATGATATCATTCTTGCAGGGGATATCAATGTTAATTTGCTTTTAGTTTGTAACAACTTGACTAAATACCTTGATTTTTATAATCTGAAACAGGTGATATCTGAACCGACTAGGATAACTGAATCGACACTCACTCTCTTAGATCCTATTTATTTGAGCAAGCCTGAAAGTTGTCTTAGGAGTGGCACTATTAATGCTGATATGATTAATGATCACTATTTAACCTTCTGTGATATACGTATTGCACTTCCTAAAAATCAACAGAAATTTGTGACATTCAGGGATTTCCATAGTTTAAATGAAATAGCGTTTGAACAAGATCTCAAGAGTTTTCCATGGTGGCATATTATATCTATAGATGACATTGAAGATAAAATTAACTTTTTAACAGACAGTATTTTATGCTTATTTAATATTCACTGTCCAAAAAAGGTAGTGCTTGTAAACAAAGCTCCAGCTCCTTGGTTGGATGATAATATTAAACTTGTATTCGGGCAGAGGGCTGAAGCTTTCTCAAAGTTCAAACGTGATCGTACAGACGCCTCTTGGCAACAGTATACATATTTCAATCGTGCATTAACGCTCGTGCGAAGAGGAAAAAGAGATTATTTACAAGCTGTTCAAAATCAGGATATAAAAAAGTTTTATAAGACCCTAAAGACTTTTAAAGTACAATCGCAGAAAGATTCTACAATTCCCGTGAGCTTGTCCGATCCGTATAAAATAAATGAGGCATTCATTTCAATTTTCGAGAATAGTGATTTGGCTTGTGCTGATAAAATTGCATATTACCGAGCTAATAAAAATAACTCAAAATTCAAATTTCAATTTAATAAAGTGACTATTGACACCGTTGTTAGAATTATGCATAAAATAAAATCAAATTCTAGTGGTACAGATGAAATAACTTTGCATATGATACCACTATGTATACCTGAAATTGATGTGTACTTAACGCATATTATAAACTGCTGTTTAGAGAGGGGATATTTCCCCAATCAGTGGAAACGCGCTATAGTTATTCCGCTACCTAAGTGTCCTGATCCTACTAACTATGGTCAACTGAGACCGATCAGTCTACTGCCAATTTTCTCTAAAGTATTGGAACGCGTTGTTTACGAGCAGCTCTGCGCCTACTTATATTCTAACAAAATTATTCCATCTAAACAATCTGGATTTCAGGTCATAATACAGCTTCGGCACTCTGTGATTTAACAGACAATATAACAATGGCACTTGATAACCAAAAAGCAGTAGCTCTCATACTTCTTGACTTCACTGATCACTCACTTCTTGTATCTAAATGCAGTTACTATGGATTTTCTGAAAAACCTCTTTCGTTTATTCAAACCTACCTTGAAAATCGGTATCAAAAAGTTCGTCTAAATCAACAGTACTCTACGGAACAAAAAATTTGTTCTGGTGTACCACAAGCAGTGGCGGTTCCACTGTAGGAGCACATGAGCACGTGCACCCCCAAAATAAATAATAATAAATATGTATAACATCCATTTAATAATTTCTCAAATAAAGTCTGAGCCTCCCTGATATTTAATCGTATAAAATCAAAGATCTAGTAGCTCTCCACTGGTGAGTCACCACTCTTACCGCTGCGCTGCCTGATTCGGGCGATTCCGACTTGTGATTTGGTCTGGCCCGATACGCGGGATTAGTGTGTTTCTCACCAAGCTGTTCTGGTTGCGGGATATAGCGGGGTTATGGCAATTTTAGTTGGAGAAGGCGCACACTTCTGGAGTGCGCCATTGTCCGTTGCGCGTGCATTTTATGCAGTAATCGGAGGTGTGTTCGAATTTTTATGTTCGTAGCAGTGTTTTAATAAAATATTGAGTTAAAATAAATGGTTTCACTGTGGAATATTTGAAACATAACTTCAGTTCATTGAGTTTGGAGCAAAAAATTGAAATAAAAAATGCGGGAAGACCTACACCAGAAATTAACTTAACTCAGACCACAAAGGGTAAATCTAGAGACTTTATTAGAAAGTTTAAAATGGAAATATATGAAAAGAATAACTGGATTTGTGGATGCAGCACAACAAACCGTTTGTTTTGTTTTTCCTGTTTGTTGTTTGGTCACGGGGTTGCAGAGCCTGCCTGGACAAAAAATGGAATAGCCGACTTAGGACATTTAGCACAAAAAATTAAGAAACATGAAAACACTCAAGTCCATATCAATGCGCAACTGGAAATGCAGCTTTTGGGAAAAGTAGATATACGGCAGCAGTTGGACAGTGCATATAGGCGCAGTATTCAACAGCAAAATGAACAAGTTAGAAAGAATAGGTATGTGCTTTCAAAAATTATTGATTGCATAAAATTTTGCGGAGCTTTTGAATTAGCCCTCCGCGGTCACGACGAAAAAGATGGTTCATCAAATCCTGGTATTTTTAGAGGTTTAATAAATTGCACTGCCGAATTAGATATAGCACTTAAAGATCATTTTGAAAAATCGACAGTATTCAAAGGGGTATCAAAAATCATTCAAAACGAATTGTTAGATCGCATGTTACAAGTGGCTCAGGAAAATATAAGAAAAGAAATTTTGGAAGCTGAATTTGTTGCTGTTATGGCTGACGAAACAACGGATGTAGCTAATTGTTATCAAATGACTACAGTATTTAGGTACATTCTACCAGATGGAAGGCCAGTTGAACGTTTTTGGAATTTTGTTACCCCCCCTGACCACGATGCAGTTAGTCTCTCAGAATGTGTGAGAACTAATTTAATACAAGTGCTAGATAAACCAGAGAAACTGATAGCTCAAAGTTATGACGGCGCTAGTGTAATGAGTGGACGTCGTGGAGGTGTTCAAGCTCTTATCCAACGCGATTATATTTATGCTTATTTCGTTCATTGTTATGCCCACCAGCTAAATTTGATTTTATTGCAAGCTACAAGCCAAAATCAAGAAGTACGGGTATTTTTTTCCAATTTAAGCGATATTTCTCATTCTCCACAACGAGTTGCAGTTTTGGATGACATTGTTGGTGCAAGAGTTCCTAGGTCTTCTGTTACAAGATGGAATTTTAAAAGCAGATCTATAAATACAGTATATGAATATCGCGAATTGTTAATAGAATGCATGGAAAAAATAGAAGCTACTTCAAAACAAACTGTTACCATCAATCAAGCCACTGGTATTGGCCGTATGCTACAAGATTCTAAGTTTGTGTTCTGGCTAACTGTATTTCATCGAATATTGCCACATGCTGATATTTTATATAATCAGTTACAAAAAACAGTGACTGACCCAGTGCAAATTCAGACTGCCATAAAGTGTTTTGAAAACTGCATCCAAAAAGAGAGAGACTGCTTGGAAACAATTGAAACTGAAATTTCTGAAGATACCACTACTACTCAAACTAAAAAGCGTCGTGCAAATGAAGACCAGCATATTTGCAGAGCTGTTGCAGCCAAGGAAGTTTGTGATACCATAATTACACATGTAACAGATAGATTTTCATTTACAAAACATTTAAATGCAGCTATTCTTCTTTCTTCTGATAAATTTCCACAATTTGAAAAGCATTTTCCATTGCAATATTTGGAAACTGTAGTAGAAGCATATTCGTTTTTAGATAAAGTTCGTCTCCAGACTGAATTGGAATTAATTTACCGGCGACCTGACTTCAGGAATATGACTGGTGCCATTAGTTTGTTACAGTTTTTTATAGAAAATAATCTTCAGAGCATATTTTCTGCCACCTTTACACTTTTACAAATAATTGTTACCATACCAATGACTACGGCCGAAAGTGAAAGATGCTTTTCGACATTGAAGAGAATAAAAACATTGTTGCGAAGTTCTATGAATGAAGAAAGACTGTCAGCGCTAGCAATGCTATCTATCGAGAAAGAATGTATAGCGGGTATTCCAAACTTTAACGAGTTAGTTATTGATAAATTTTCTGCAAATAAAATCAGGAGAATGGACTTTACGTTTAAACACTGTACTCATTAAAAAAATTGTATTTTTTATAAATGTATTTTCTTGTGTATAATAAAAAAAAAATAACAAAAAATGTGTCCTTGATGCTTGTCTTAGTACTCTTATTGCCTTCTACGTCACGCATTACATAAAAATTTTTGTGGTGGTAAAAAAATTATTTTATACCACTTGTGAACCCCCTGTATCATAGACCACGAGCCGCCGCTGACCACAAGGATCAGTCTTAGGACCGCTATTATTTTCATTATATATCTCAGATTTAGAAAAAGAGGTAAAATCATGCAGCATACAATTTTTTGCAGCTGATACTCAAATTTTCTATTCATTTAGGAGTAATGACTTGGAAACGGCAAATAATAAAATTAATCAAGATCTTGCCCAAATTAAAAAGTTCAGTAGTAGTCATAATCTTCATTTGAACCCTTTGAAGACAAATATGTTGGTATACGCAAATAGAACAAAAAAGAATACCTTAAAAAAGGATATAGACATACATTCAAAAGGTAATAAATTAATGAACTCAAATGGATGAAAATTGATAAAATGTACCAGCTCCTAAATCTGACTCATAATTCAAAAACACCGTCATATTTAGTAAACAAATTCATACGTACAGGGAATATGCATCGTATTAATATTAGATATAGAGAGACTTTTTCAATTCCATGCCACAGCACGTCTCTATTTCAGAATTCATACATTTACAATGCGATCAAATCATATAATTCTTTAGACCGCAGTTTAAAAGAAACCAATCCATTATCCAAATTCAAGAAAAAAGTGAAAGAAGTTCTTCTTGATCAGCAGCGAAATCGGTTGTAACCCATAAGTGTCCTCATATTTTCCTTATGTATTTACTTGGATTATTCGTTATTGTATACAGGTGCCTATTAATTTTCAATAAATTCTTTTTTTTTACATCTCGTATTGTTAAGGGGGTTAGATGGTAGAATAGATATATAATCTAAATCTCGCCTCCTGTAAGAATATTACAAATAAAAGACGTTAATTATTATTATTAATTTGGAACACTCCTTTTAAGAAACCTCAAATCTGTCAATTTTTCTAAACGGATTGTCCCATGCTCTATTGTACGCTCAGGTAGATCCTACCAAAAGAAGAAGGTTGATATGTCGTACTATGGCACATTGATGAGCGATAATGATTTTAATGTACAGAAACGGTTAACCTTGAGGTCCGGCAGCCCACCATTATGAAAGAAAGACTATAGAGTTACAAGGTACTGATAAAAAGCCTTAATGTTAGTTACTGCATGACCCCATATCCCAATTCAAAGAATTTTTCAAGATGGCGGCCAGCCACGTTAAACGATAGTATTAATGCAACAACTTGATGCAACTGATCCTACGCGCAAGCTTGCTCTTGTGGGTTTTCTGTTTGTTTACCATTCTAAACTGTGTACGCTTTTATATTCAGTTTACAATATTATCGTTATTTTTGGTAAATAAACTTAACTTCTTCACTCTGATAAACTTACCCGTTTAAAAAGTAAGTGGGGATGGTGGGCCCCTTTGAAGAGCACTGTAAAAGAGTACCTATGCAGTAGACGTATGCAATTTTTAACATAATGTCCCGCTTTAATCCTTATCGCTTAAGACAGAGGTTCGAAAAATACCTAATACAGCAGATATTACCAAGTCACCAATGTCGTTTATATCTTGTAATTCTAAAAATGCTCAACAACAAGAATATAAGAAAGACAATTCTTATCCCTTTTACAGATATGAAACCAGTAACGGCATCAAACGCACGGAGTCCGGAGTGGTAAAAGGAGGCGCGAAACCCGAGGAAGCAGCCATAAACGTCAACGGAGACTTTTCGTACGCCCTCTTGGATGGCACGCCTTTCAGCGTGACCTTCGTTGCTAGCGAAGATGGTTACAGGCCAGTAGTTACCATTGGCCAAGCCAGATCTGGATAAGATTTGTCTGTTAATTGATGTTTTTAATTGTGCTCACCGATTTTTGTATGAATAAAGTTGAGAACGTTGTACATTCTATTTTGCTTTGGGATATAAAGAATAACCATTCACGCCTTATTTCATACGGTGATAATTTGTAATGACCACTAGGCCAGAAGAAAGGCGCAACACAGTACGAAAATACTTTCTTCATAGATGCTTTCCATGGATTCTTTTGTGAGGGTACCCGCCCAAGGGGAAAGTCGCCCAATTAAAAAAAAATCAGCTTCAGAATTCAAATGAATAAATGTTTTCATTCCGGCTAAGCTTACCTTAGATGTTGATTATCTTCCAATTAAGTCAACCTTAAGAATTGAATTTCTAATTTCAGTACATTAAATGGTAAGAAGATGTATTGTGTTTGAATTCTCCAAGTTTTTGCATTTGGTAGAGCTGTTGTCAACATTGTGTGCGGTGTCCAGCTAACGATTGACCCACCCCTCTAACTTCTTTATATGACTTTCTAGAAGAAAAAGCTGTACATAAAAGTTCAAATATGAAGTTTTCAATGCAATATTTTCTTGTACACCTTAGAGAAGTGCTAAAAGTATATTTTTTTTTTTAAATGGAAAACGCTGTACATTTTTAGTGAAGATGGTGGTCCTTTATTTCTAATTCCAAATATACGATGCTTTTCTTTAATGTCCCCTCCCTTTGATTCTTTGAACGGATCAATCCAAAATATTAAAACTAGCGGTAATGGAATTGATGCGTCGATACCATCTTTTAGAGTAAAATTGACAGATGAAAATGTCAAGATGGCCGCGGGGCGCCATCTTGGAAAAAAAAAATATATGAAAACGGGGGTCTTGTGGCACATCGTTTTAAAGCTCCTGACGAGTACTTTATGACCCTAGAATATAAAGTCAATACCTTTACCTACTGCAAAATGGTGGTACATTTAATAATTAAACCGTATATATTTTGAATCGGGAGATAGTTACTCTCATTTTTTCTGAAAAAATAAGGGTGTTCCATTTAGCAAGCTACAGTTTAATTCGGTTGCACTTCTGAGACATTCACATACACAAATCTTACATGACAGACTTCATATTAGACATTATGTCCAAGGTCATATAAAAAGTTAGACGAAAGTCCTTTTATACCAGGAGACCCCGTACAGAGTAGTAGCAATCGCCGTAATAGCCGTATGATTAATGCATGGCCCACAGATTTCAGAGGTTCTGACTTATGGGAGAAAAATGCGTGAAGTGTTATCCACAATCTCACGTAACTTCTTGGGCCATACGACAAACTATAAATTTTTAAGTGCTGAATCATCAGATCGCATTGCTAGGTGAAGATAGGTAGCACTTTTCCTATTTTGACCCCCCAGATTACGTCGACAACTGCTGTAAGAAGCTTTCCAAATGATTAAATTTCCTTAGGACTGTGATTATCCTCAGAGTTTTGAAACCCAGAGTCGCCTTTACCTTTGTATAAAAAAGAAATAGAATAGCACCAATTAGACAGTCTTTGTATTTCCCAAACATTGAAATTTGCCTATTTTGAAACTTTCCAAACCTTTTGTTACCTATGCGAAAAATCTAAAATTTTGACCTATGTTTGGGAGTCGCCACAATTTGGATATGGGCTCCCACAGAAGCGAGCTACGTACGTCACTGGGTTATGTAACAGGAAATATTTGATCTGAAATAATTGCGATTCATGATCTAGTGCACTAAAAGCATAAGCGCAAATAGCAAATCCTAACGAGGTTAAAAATGGTGGATGGGCACATATGATGAAATATATGGCGCATTCACCATTTCTATGATTACGACGAAATGAAAATATATCAGCGGCAGGTACATATCTATTCTCAAATAAAACCACGGAAAAACTGAACTGACAGTGGTGATCACGTGAAATAAATAGTACGTGCATTCTGGTTGCTCACATTTAGGCACACGTTGCTATTGTACCCAGGCCAAGGGCGGCATTTTCAAGGCGGCGGCAAAAACATTTACCAAATTTCAAATTAAAAGCTCTAAGTGCCACGCGATGGTCTAGCAGAATCGATGCAGTCAACCCAATATGGTATCATCTGGAAAAAATATTTGATGCTTTGCTGGAAATATCTGATAATAATTCGACAGAATGGGACTGTGCAACATCTCACAAAGCTTATTGGCTTGCGCTAAGCATTCAAAATTACAGTTTTACTTGCTCAATAATAATTTGGTTAGATATCTGTGCAGATTTGTTGGAAAAATTGATTATTAAGTTAACCGAATATCGCACAGATGAGCACTTTGCGAAGCTATTACAAGAAGCTACTAATGTAGCTCAGGATCTCAACGTAGAGGCAAATTTCCCGCCAATAGACACCATTCGTCTTAGAAGAAGACGAACCCAATTTCAATATGATTACAGTGACGAAGCGTTACTAGACACCAAGATTAAATACATAGTACGCTGACCTCTCTAGAGGACAGATTTGAGGAGTTAAAAACGTTTACTGACGATTCTCATACCTTGTTACAATACGTTTACTAATGATTTAATTTCAACATCTCCAAACACAGCAATAGCGGTACCGCTATTACTTACATTGCCAGTCACAGTTGCATCCGGTGAAAGATCCTTTACAAAGCAAGATAATAAAAAAAACTTTTTAAGGTCAACATGCACCACTAAAGACTAAGTAGTTTAGCTATAGTTTCCAGTGAACATGAAGTTTTAGACTGGTTGGATATGAAAAACTTGATAGCAGATTTTTCAAACATAAAGGCAAGAAAAGTTCAATTTCTGTAGAAATAAATATGTCTAAATATGTCTAAAGCATTTTCTGTATTTCTTTTATTTTCTCATGCCCTTATAATACAATGGCACTGGATTTGATTTGATACTCGGAATCGCAGAAGTAATTTAACGGATTGGATGTTATAGAATCTCCGTCCCAGTAATTCACCGACACAGAAAGTGCTCAGCGTAGATTGGTACATGCGGCGGCTAAATCGTATGTACCACATCTATACACGATTTCAGATATTTTTTGTGCTACTGGTTTTCAAATTTTTCCAACTGGTGTTAGATCTACTATATACTTATGTCGCGAAGAGTTGCGTAATGTTTGGTGGCACCTGTTTATTCTCTATGATGGAATCAAATAGTTTCCTTTGGTAGTACTTAAGCTCTCGTAGGTCCATCTATTACTTATTTCAACGATCATTGTTAGTGCATATCTTATGTATGCAACCACGCATTCACTCCTGAGCATTCCTGGAAGTCCGATATTGTATATTATGAAGGTGTGATTTTGTAGTAAGACTATCGATTAAACTTTAATTATTTCACCAGTGGCGTATCTAGAATTAGAGTATACAATGAGGGTCAAGTCGGCTAGAGGGCAATAAGGGACGTATGAGGTCAGATTGATTTCCCTGAGAAGCCCCGCTATGACACATCGGAAGCCTAAATACCCAAGTATGATTTTTGCGATACTGGTATTAAAGTTTATTGGAATGATTTTTGCGATGACTGGGCTCCGACATAGGATAGGTCCTTGGCGCTACAATCTCTGTAATCTCATTATTGTGAAGTGTAAATAGTAGCATCACATGTTGGTTGTTTTCCTATGACTTTGTGTTTTTATGGCGACAAAAGTAGTTGCGCAGCGCCTAATAATATTTAGATGCTTGCAAGTTGGTATTTATACCTCTATATATCCCTAAATAACAAGGTTGGGTTTATCTTTATCAAGAAACCGATCCATTTAGATGATTGACTAAAATTTTATTGGATAAATAAGTTTTTGGTTTTGAAAAGTGACATTATGTCGGTTTTTTTGTCATTACTTAGTTTTTTTGTGATAATATGTAGTTTCGAACATATATTTTTAACAAAGTACTTGTAATCATCTACCGATGGAGTGACTTGGAGTACGGTGCCATCTGTGATGCTCAGCCTATCCAATTCATCTGCTCTTTCATTAAACGAGAGACCACTACGCCCTTCGATCCAGCAAAGATGGAAGTCTGCATTGGCGAATTTCAGATCGATCAACATTTGTTTGATAATAACAAGAACATAGATATTAGTAGGTGACTTGACTAATGCTTGAATAATGGCCATAGCTTCGGTAGAGAATATAGAGAACAAATCTGGTAATTTAAACTTTGCAGAACCAGAATTAGACTTAGAAGCATCCGAGAAGGAATGCTTATAATCACTGTGACTATTGCATATGGACAAGAAAATGTTTTTATTGATATGAGGATTGTTACCGTAACTGGGAATTGTTATGTCAGTATTTTTCATAAGCTGGAATAGATCCATATCGTCCTTGGTGTAGAGGTGCTTCATAGCTATTAAATTTAAATTTAGTTGCTAGAAGGCTGCATACAACGAGGGCGACTGTTTTTTCTGCCAGTACTTATCAGTGAGATCAAACGTGTTCAGCTGGCATATTTTTTAATGTAGTTGTGTATCCTGCGATATTTGTTTGAGGAGGAATTTTTTTGCGAGCATTTCCCTAAGGCGATGGAGTGGCGGTTCCAAAGCTTCAACCCTTAGCGTTTCGGCTTTCTTTATTCATCCCGAATTCATCCTTAATTACAAAAATTAAAGAGATTAGATAAGAAAATCCCTGGTTGGTGGAGTATATCACAGCTAGCATGTGGAAAAATTTGATACAGACAGAAACATTTATGAAACGTGAAAAGGTTATTACATTTTACATTATTATTTATCTTCACTCATTAAAACTTAATACTAATTTATTTTGCGATGTCATGTAGAACATTCAAATCAGCGTCTAGATCTGAGGCACTGCGACAAATGATATAGAGAAAAAAATGACTGCCCTGTATTTGCTATTTATCAAG